CTGTCTAGTGAGGCTGCTGTCGGAAGTGCAGGGGCCGTGGCCACTATGGTGCATGGGGCTGGGCTGAGGCTTAGCTTTCGGCAGTTATCGGCAGCTCGTCGTGCTAGCAATCAGTCTGTGGATGTCCCCGCCTCTTTGCAACTAAAATCCCAGCCTCGTGCTTGAGGCATTTATGCGAGATGGTGGTAGGAAGCCGCAGACAGCGCTCCAGCAGCTCCTTCGCAGACCGTGGGTTTGTGTGCTTCTGCAGGACCACCGAAAGGTGCGCAGGACGCACGGCTTCTGATGCAGTTAATGCTCTGTCCGCTGACACGACCTGACCTGCGCTTCTAGTGTGAGCCGGTCGCTGGAACTGTTTGTGCTCAAGGGTTCAAGTCCCTTTCGAAACTTCCTGAGACTCGATCAATATCGACACTGAGCTCAGCCATCGTCGTAGCAAAGGCTTCTCTTTTCATGTGTGGGATACCGTGCCAGAACCCGTCGTGTGGCTGAACATGCCCGTCGGAAAGTGCCGCCATGGAGACAGTCTTGTATCATGCGATACTGTAGCATGCAAAGGTACATCTTGAAACCCAGACTCCTCCTTTCTCATCTTGGCAGGAGACAGAAATGCAGGCTCTTGAACAAGCGTCTTAAACGGACCCAGTGAGCTGGAGAAAACGACGCTTCTCGTTTGACGCAGCCCTCACTTTTGGCATTTATCGTTTCTGAAGCGTCAAGGTCAGCTGCACACGTGTCTCCGCGATCGATGCTGGCACGATGTGCACTTCGCGCACTTCTAGCTTGCGCCCGTCACCGGTGCTGACATTGCTGAAGCTGTCGAGGCCCAAACGACGTTTATTCTACGTACGGACAGCAACAAGCTTCCCGAAGAGAGTGCTGTGTCAACGACCGGGACGTGAGCGTGGACGGAGAACGAAGCTTGAGCTCGGGCGCAGGTTTGGGCGAAGGACGGAAGCCTACGGAAGAGCCGACGTCAAGGTCACAGGCTGTCTCTCGGAACTCTGTGAGGTCAGCGGTGTTTCTGGAGGAGGACAAGCTCCGTTTTTCTCTACAAGTAACCTTTTTAGTCCGGATGCAGACACTGCCATCATCAGAGGCTAGCATGCCATAAAACTCCCGAGCCGGGCTATGCTCTCCTTTGGCGCGACCTGTGCTTTGGAGATACTGTCCACCGTGCCCTGAACACTCAACCCGCGGCGGGTGCCGTCAGTCGCGCAGTTGCTGGAAGTTGCAGCCAGATTCGGGGCATTCGCAGGATTCGAGTTCAACCAGCAGGGTTTGCTAGTTCAGCAAGATGGTCAGCAGCACATACTGCGCCCAATCGACCGCTCATAAAGGAGAACCTTGTCGCACACCTGCATGTAGACCGTCGCCGGGCCCAATCACGTGCGCAACTGGGCCTGCAGTGAGAAGCCCTGTGGCGTGGCACAGGCGCTGCAGAGATTCGACGGATGTGACGAATGTGCGGCTGCATCTGGGCCAGGGCTTTGAAAGTATGGCACGATGGGCAGGTTTGCATGTGACCCATTGAGCACCAGAAGAAGGAGACGTGGTACCTCATGGAGCTTGGTTTCAAGCGTCGAATCCAGGATGTGCTGGTCTTCGCGTGCGTCGAGGTCGGGAGATTGTTGCATTGACGCGTTGGCGACCGTGTTGCAGGTCAAGCTGTGCGCTCGGAAAAGATTCGAAAGAAAGCCTGTTCGTGCTTCTCTCCACGACCTTGCAAAGACTTCACGAGTCAATCTTGGGTCTAGGGTCTGTCGGCATTGGAGCGTCTGTGGCGGGGCCTTGCGAGTGCCAAGACTTGTGGCGGGAAGTCATCTGTACTTATCGGGTGGCAGTTGCCTATCGAGGATGAGCTGATCAGGTGTTGAGCTAATGCGGAACTGATGCCTGGGCACGCATGCAGTGTTGACTGGACGTCCTTGCAACACAATGCGGACCGTTACCTACGGCCGCGAGGATGCGATCTGCAAGTATCTTCCAGGCTACCCGAGGCAGTCTACCATCAGGGCTAGGCAGCCAGCATGTCTGTCTTGACTCGCAAGTCCGTACCTTCTTGTGTCAAACCGCAAGATAAGGCAGGCATCAGCTCGGTTTTGCGGTTTAGAGCTGCAGCCTGCCTGGGAGAGAGAGAGAGAGCTGCAGCCCCTGCTCCAAAAGGGTAACTTGGTTGTAAAAAACGATAACTACCAAGTAACAAGATTGAAGAGGGTGTCTGTCACGTGAAACGTCGATATCTCCTTTGCTGTTTGCTCTCTCGAACCCCGACACCCCAAAGTCGAAACCGAGTGTGAGTCGAAACCTCTAGACTCTAAACCCCAAACCCTAAACCCCTACCTTCTCGCAGGGGTGGCAACAAATTCTAACTTGCTAGGCAAGTCCGAGGATTCAGCGCTGAAAACCCTAACTTCCTTTCTGAATCTGGGCATTCTGAGGCCTTGCAGAGGGTTCCCGTATCTCCCTGCGGTGCCTAGGGCTTCGGACTCGGCTCTGCTCGGAGAAACTTGGGGGTTTAGGGCGCTTAGCAAGGATGTCCGTGAAGCCGGAGGTTACTCTTTTGTTTTTGGCTGTTGGGAAAGTTGAAAGGCGAGTCCGCAGGGCTTCGTTTCCTCCTCTGCCAAGGTTAAGGCAGCAAAGGCATAGAGCTGCTAAGATATCGCGTGCCTATCGGATGAGCACAGAGTTTGGTAGGCAGTGAGCTTGGTGGAGGATAGCTCCCTTCAGAAGGCTGTTTCGAATGCCTCTTTTGCCGTGTAAGCACGAAGCCCTTCGCGCATGTGCGGTGCGGCTTTTCTGCAACACTAGGCCTGGGTCTTCCCCCAGTAGGCCGCCCCTTTGGGTTGGGTCTGCGGCCGGATCGGCCAGGATCACTGCTGCTGTTCGCGCGGCTTTTTCAGGTTCCAAAACCTTCGAGATGTCGGTGTGAACTCATCTGCTGCCCTTGCTCTTCGTCCTTTCCTTGTGCCATGGCTGTGGCAGAGGAAAGCCAGGACACGGTTTGATCTCAGCTCATACTAACACCTTGTCCCGGTGCCCGGTTGCCGTGTGCCGCTACAGGATGTTGCAAGGGTTTGTAAGTCCGGCCTGTGTGGTCAAGCAGAATGGAAAGTGCAGTTCCATGGGGAAAGCACATCCTGTCAAACCCACTAAGACTAAGATTAGCTCCAGCACACTTCGTGAAGAAGGCATCGTGACACTCACTGCACTGTGTGCGGTCACGCCTTGACATCTATGCGACCTTTTCAGGCCGGCTCTTGGCTGCGTCAAAAAGGCCAGTGCGCGCGTCGGTCGGGGCATCGTCCGAAAGTACTACTGCTACAACTGCTACTACTCCTACAACAACAACAACAACTACTACTACTACAACAGGGTGCCAGGTGGGTGACAAAAACTACTACTACAACTACTATTATTACTCCTACTAGTCCATCTGAGACTAAAGTTCGAACAGCTGCAGGCCACTAAAGTAAGACTGCATCAGAATGGAGCTCCCTGCGTCGATGTTGCGGCTGCGGTTTGTGTCGGAATGCAAGACTCGGAAGCCTGAAAATTCATGGTTGTCGGCTTTTTGCACCTCAAACGCAGCCTGTGGCTGGACATAGGTTTTGGAGTTTTTCGGGATTGCACAGGCGGTGGGGTCCAATCGCTGCAAATTTAGCCTTGCCGGTTAGGCAGTTCTCTGCATGCATTTCGGCTCGCGGCAGTGTGTAGACATGACCCATTTCTTTTTAGGCTCTTGTGCATGCTGGTATACTTAGATATATGCAGCTGTTGATGACCCGCGTCATCTGGATCACCACCGACTTTACGATCTGTCCCGCTCATGTCCGTAGCCTTGATGGAATAATGCCGATGTTCGCTTTCATATAATTCCAAGTTGCAAAGTTTCCTACAGCTCCGGGAATCAACAAGCTCAGCCAGCTAGCCGTCTAGCCGAATTTCTGAAGGATATACGGCACTAGGGTTTCTTCTCGTTGTTTGCCCGAGTCTCCAGGCATCTCGACCCATCATGATCATAGGATCCTCATTCCCGACAAGCCCCAGAAACCCTAGAAAGCTTCTTTCAAGGTTTAGTCAGGGAGGGACCTGCCAGGGCAGGGCCACAAGTTGATGCAGCTGGTCAAGCCCTTCGCGCCGCCTGTAAACCATCCACCTGCGCTGCAGCGAGCCGGAAGCTTGGGTAGGGTAGGGGCCGAAATGATTACCAATACTACCTTGGGGGCTCCTTATTATAGTTATAGTATAATGGGACCCAAAACCCTATTCTAATTATTAAGGCCCCCATAGTGGGGCAGGCTTTGCGACAGCTCTCCGTGCAACTGCAAGACTGACGGAGCCTGCATGTGACTTGAGTGACAGTGCAAGGAGATCGGGAGGGAGAGACACTTTTTTCCAAGGAGATGTATACGTATGTATGTAGATACAAACTTGGATGTGTATGTATGTGCATATGTATGGGTATATATATATATATATAGATGTGTGACTATGTCTGTGTATATACATCAGACAGAGCGAGGGAGAGGGGCAGGAGGAACCAGAGCCACATTCTGCCCACCGGTGAGGTCAGGTCGCATGAGGTCGGAACGCATCTAACCGTTGATATTGGTGGAGCCAAGGGTGAAATAAGGAGCCAAAGAGCCAAGGGAGCCCCCAAAACCACTGGTTAAAAACTCTAAACCCTAAACAGACGGAAAAGGGACGTTAAAAAAAGACCCCTAAACCCCTAAACCCCTAAACAATGATCAGGTCCATCCGATCCCACTTCACCTACAGCAAAACGTAGGTCTGGGAACACCTTGACATGTTTGTTATTACGAGCTCCGCTCGATGGGTGATGATGTGATGGTGCAGCCGATGCTCTCAGGTGAGGTGCGCTTTGCTGTGCTCTCCCATTCATGCGCACGCACCAAAAGGGGCTGGGGCACTTGTGGTTGGGGCATTTAGTACTTCACTTCTTTTACCTCCCCTAACCCGCGTGGAACGCCGGTGCCATGGCGACAGCAAGAGACGGGAGCCCTGCAAGGACGAGATCTCGATCGAGAAGCAGGTCGCCGAACAGGCCGCTGGCTCCCATCAGTGAGATGGAAGCACAGAGCCTTTACGAGAATGGTGTGCCGCCCTCGCTGGTGAGGCACATCGGTCTTGCGATGAGGGCAATTGACCACTACAAACGGCAGGATGCTGGCTGGACGACTGCGGTGCTGCGAGAGACACTGCAGGATACAGTGGATGCCTTCACCAGAATGATCGAGGTACTCGACGTGCGACTGGCAGAGACACCGGTCAACAGAACGCCGCCGGACGATGAGAGGCGAGAACTCCTGCACTTGATTTCGGATGCTGCACGCAACATCCCTAAAGCTTCGGTGCAGATCATCCAGAATCGCTTGGAGCTGGCATGGCTGGATCCGCATACGCTTCCCTTGCATGCCCAACCACAGCACCGCTGAAGATGCAGGGCAACTTTGGCCAGCATTGCTGGGAGTGTACTGCATGTGACTCTGAACTGCAAAGTATGAATTCTTGAATTCAGGACGAACAGGCTACCTTCCAATCTGCCCTGCATGTGACTGAAGCCTGTCCTGAATTCATGAATTCATGCATTTTGCATTTGCAGCAGCATGGACAACCAACACCTTTGTCGGTGACGAGGTCTGCATGAATGAATTTATGCGTTCGGGATGCTCAGGCACCCCAAACTCGTGAATTCGCAGTGGTGATGAATGTGAGTGCAAGCTGGCACAACGATGGCCTTTGGCTGCGGCATCTGCAAGGAATTCTACTGGGAATACCGGTTCTGGGTGATGTGGCACTGCATGACATATGGTACAGCTGCGTACAGAGTGCTGGCGTGAATTTGGAATTCACATACAGGTCCTCCTTCCATGCGTGGATGCCATTTTGGCAAGTGAGCGGATGATGGAATTCGGTTGAATTGATGAATTGACATATACAATTGTGAATTTGCGTCTTGAGCCTGAGTGCCCTTGTCTATAGCAGTCGGGGCGATAGTAGCCTTTTGAAATAGGGGCCTTGCCCAAACTTGTGCCAGACATGTCTTAGGGGTATGCCACTGCGTGGTTGCTTGAAACAGTTATATGTGCTGATTGTTTTTTTGCGGGTACCCTTGAGATGTTTGGCGTGTGTGGAGATACGGTGGACTATGTGGAGCCTTGCCTGCCTGTGCGAGTGTGAGCGTCGAAAACAATGCGAGAGGGAAAAAAAACCCTAAACCCCTAAACCCAAAACCCCTAAACCCTGCATTGAGACCGCGCCAAGGCTCAGAGTCGCCTGGCGATCACCACCAGAAAAACAAGCAACGCGAAAGGGGTTGAAAGAGTTGTATGTAAAGAAGAAAGACAGAAAGAGCTACAAAGATGAACTTGACATGAACCTGTGTGTGTGTGTATATATGTGTATGTATGTGTGTGTGTACCTATGTATGTATGTGTGTGTGTACATGTAGAGATTCATCTGCGCATGTAACTTTACACGCATGACCAGTGAACGCCGAAATGCAGTGTGGTTTTTGGTTTTATCCTGGCGGCTGAGGTGACATGCTCCGTGAGGCAAGACTTGTGAACCTCGCCCTCCGACAATGGAGTTTCCGAAAATGGGGGACCCTAATATAGTGCCTTAAATAGGATCCACGCTGTAAGGACCACAAAATACGGTACCCCTAATTTTCGGAAACCCTCACCCGTAAGCCCTTTCAGAACCCTTATAGATAAGGAGCCCTTAAAGGATCCCTTTAAAGGTAGCCCTGATTTTCGGAAACTCCCATAAATGCTAACCTGGAGACGAGACACGGAAGGATGCCCGGCTCCTCTGCTAAGGATTGTCAAAGTGGCGGGAACTCAGGCTTTGACAGTTTTCAATCACTTGGGTGGTTATCAAAATTATGGTCCCATTTTGGGTCCGTATTACAATACGGCACCTAATATTTATACCCCAAAAGGGACCTTAATTTTGACGACCACCCACCTTCGGCCTGCCGACCTTCTCCGGCGTAAGCGCTTGCGGATCCGGTGTGAGAAGGGTGTGAATCTTGCTGAGAGCTTCATCCCAGAGAGCCCAATACCCCTGAATTAAGGAATATGGTTTAGATCATAATATGAAGCCCTATATAATTTAAGCCATATTCCTTAATTAAGGGGCATTGTCTCCGGGATTGCCAGGCCCGGTAAAACAACACCAGCAACTGCTGGTGCTCAGTGACTCAGTGGTTCTCGCCCCGCGAGAATCCAACATTGTAATCTGGCATATCTCGTCCACGCTTTGCAGTCGCAGGGTAACTCAAAGGGCTCCGGATTCCAGCACTTGTAAACTGAATGTCATGGCGAGGAGTTCTATTTGGCTATTTCCGCACTTGTGGTGGTTTTGCGGGGGAATTGGATGGCCGCGCAAGCCGCGCTCCTGATCTTATGTAACGGTGGCTTGGACAACGTAAACCCAAGGAGGTCGCCCTTGTCTTTCACTCATGATTTGGTACAGGAGTCATGGCTCGAAGTTTGCGATTACTGCCAAGATGCATTGCTCTGTTCGGCAGGTTATGCGATTGCACCATGTTTTTGGTTGTTCGTGAGGCACAGCCCAACACTCGCAGCCTTGTTCTCAGACTACATGCCCAACACCTGAGTGCATTGTACCGGAGCAACGTCGAAGCCAAAGTGGGCATTGCCCCAAAACCATAGCAAACCTGTGGAAATCGAAACGCTTGGTGCCTGGGCAGGTTGGGCGATGTGGGCGGCTATGGCGTTCAACTCTCAGCAAGAGCGATGTTACAGAATTCTGTTGGCAGAGCTTTTGGGTGTAGAGCATGCGGCCTTCGGAGCCAGGCTTTCAGGTGTCTCTGGGGTTGCAGCAGGGCTTCGTGTCAGCGGCAGCCTCTTGGATTTCCGCCTTCCACCTCGACCACCCAATCCGCCAAGGACCGAAACCTGAACGACATCTGCTTGGAGTACACCTACGAGGAGCTGAAGCAGGTGAGCCGTCCCAGAAAATGCTTCGGAATTGGATACATGCATACACACATGCACTCCTACCATAATGTGCATGGATGTAGGATTTCAGCTGTCTTGGTAGCCTCAGTTTTGAATGGCAGCAAACATACATATACAGAATCAAGTATGAGAAACACGAGTAAGCGTGCCACCATGTCATGTTCTGTGATGCTATGACACTGTTGAGTTTATGCTGTACAATAGCATATTGCCTAGTTGCATTTTTCCAGACTACTTTCGTTCGCAAGCCACAGCACAGCCTCATGCAAGCTTTTGCAGCTTGCCGCAGGCAACCAATAACTTTGATGAGACGCACATGAAGCTTGGCCCGATCCCGAGTATTGGTCGGCAGGTCAGTTGCAGATTCGTGAGAGCCTGGTTGTAAAAGGTCAGTCGTAGGCTGTGTAATGTAGGAAACTGATTAAGAAACCCTGGGCCTATAACCCCAAAATAGTGGGAACCATTTGGGAACGCTAATAAAGGCCCAAGGTTTCTCAATCAGGTTCCTATGTCACACGTGGCATGTTCTGATTGAGTGTGCGCGAGGTTCCGGTTCCTACGGTCGCAAGCTCAGTGCCAGGGCTAAGCGGTGTAGGAAAAGCAGGACCGAGCCCAAACCCTGCAGACCCGGGAGCTTAGTAAATCTTGACCGGTTCATTAAAGTTCAACTAGTGCTGAGCCATGCTGTTGAAACCCGCTTTGCATATTGCATGCCGGCCGATGTGCTGCGCATTTGAGCCTTTTGCTCCATGATTCCCGTCCCGCGCCTTTTGCATCTGCTTGTAGTTCGTAATTCGCCAGGAGCTTCTGAATCTCTTCGGGTCGTCTTGTTGCAGAACTCACTTGCTTCCGTGCAGTTTTGTGAGGGATCTTGTGCTCGACTGTCTTGCTTGGAGATCTTCCGAAGGAAATTGGTGCAGGGATGAACGAACGTGGCTTTCAGCCGCGACAAGCGGGGAATCGTAGGCCTGACCCCTCCAGATCCTAAACTTCTCGACCCTGAACTCTCGGAAAATGTCCCAAAACCCCCCAAACCCCCCTCCCCTCCCCCCCCAACTTCGGATTCCTACTAGACTCCTGAACTCCTTCGCCCTTATGGCCTTGTGGCAACATGGCAACTCAGCCATCCCTCCCTCGAGATGTCTCCAGCAAATCCCCAGGTGGCGTCTACAAAGGCATTCTGAAGGACCGGACGCTCGTACTTCATATCATCCGTGAACTTTGCAGATTGCATGTCACCATTATTTTTACTGTTAATATTATTGTTACTATTGTATTTGTTATTGTTATCGTTATTGTTATCGTTATTGTTATGGTTATTGTTATCGTTTTTGGTATGTGTGTCATTTTTCCTCTCTCTCTCTCTCTCGCTCTCGCTCTCTGTTATGCATGTTCCCAAGCACTTCTATCGAGCCTTCGCCATAGCTTTCCCTAAAACCCTTGAACACTGAACCCTAAAACCCTAAGCCCCCAAACCCAGAAACCCCAAAAATGCACCAAAATCATTCCAACCCTGTAGAGCCCCTATAGATCCCTTAAAGGAGCCCTTATAGCACCCTTTCAAAGCACCCCAAACCCCCAAACCCGCGCTTGCAGCTGCTGTGGGGGCTCGCGAGGATGGCACGGAGGTGGCCATCAAGGCGCAGCCTTTGGAGTTTAGGGGTTCCTTAAAAGGGGCTCCTTGAAGGGATCTATAGGGTTCCTTAAACGGGATCTATAGGGTTTAGGGTTTAGGGTCTACTTGGAGGATCATGGGACTTAGTAAGTAGGCCTTAACTGGGGTTCTAGGCACTGGTAAGTAAAGTTACCTTATTATAACCCCACTTACTAAGTCCCATGATCCTTTAAGTAGGGTTCAGGAATCATGCGGGGGAAAGGGGGCTCTTGCCGTAAGCGGGCTGCTGGACAACGAGGCCTGCTGCAAAAAGGAATCATGGGTTTAGTGCTTAGGGTTCAGGGTTTTACGCGCAGACTTTGCCGGACTTTTCTGGGGGGGTTTCGGATTCTCTGCGGTTTGGGGTTCGGGGTTCAGGCCTTCTAGTTAGTTCAGGAGATCGTCGACGCTTCTTCACTTCTCGTGTTTCTCTCACTCCCGCGTTTGCATCCCTCGTCAAACGAGAAGGCTCTGCTGTTGAGGAGTGTCCGCTGGCACACAATCCAAGCCCATGCTGAAAAAAGGCCTTCTATCTTGGGATTGAGGTTTTGGCATTTTTTGGGGGTTCAGGCTTGAAGGTCCGGGGTCGCGCAGTCAGTGTCGAGTGTCAGAGTCGAAAACCGCCTGGGCGAGCGCGTGGCCGGCTAACATGGGGTTTCCGAACATGGGGAACCCTAATAGAGTACCCTAACTAGTAGGATCCTAATTATAAGGACCCCACAATAAGGTACCCCTAATTTCCGGAAACTCCCACATGCTTTGAAGAGCAACCCCCCACTTCCAGCCCAAGACA